ACTAAGCACTGTACTTATTTTTTGATAGGAGGAGACAGGTGCAACACCTTACCCTTCACCTTAGAGCAGTGGCTCTCAACCCCTTTGTGGTCACATATCAGATATCCTGTGGTGATATTGTGTTCCCCAAAATATTGTGCACCCTAATAAACTTATCTGGGGTCAGAGAACAGAACAGCCACTAGATACAGAGGCCAGAAAATGGTGGCACACACACCTTTAATCCTAGTATTCCAAAGGCAGAGATCCATCCAGATCTCTGTGAGTTCAAAGCCACACTGGAAACAGCCAGGCATGGTTTTAATTCCAGGAAATGATGGCCGAAAGCAGAAAGGTATATAAGGCATGAGGACCAGGAACTAGAGCTGGTTAAGCTTTTAGGCTTTTAGCAGCAGTTCAGCTGAGATTCATTCTGGATGAGGACTAAGAGGATTCCAGTGTGAGGAAACAGGATCAGCTGAGGAATTGGTGAGGCGAGGAAGCTGTGGCTTATTCTACTTCTCTGATCTTCCAGCATTCACCCCAATAACTGGCACTGGGTTTGTTTTTATTAATAAGACCTTTTAAGATTTGTGCTACAATATCCTGCATATCATATATTTATATTACAATTCATAACAGTAGTAAAATTGCAGTTATGAAGTAACAATGAAAATAATTTATGATTGGGGGTCATTACAACATGAGGAACTGTATTAAAGGGTCACAGCATTAGGAAGGTTGAGAACCACTGCCTTAGAGGGAATACCTCTGCATGCCCCACACTACTGAATGTGCCTAGCAATTTTCCTGACACAGGACTTTCAATTTTGTTTTGACTTATTTCCCACCCTCCAATGCAGTGGTTCTCAACCTTCCTAGTGCTGTGACCCCTTAATACAGTTCCTCATGTTGTGGTGACCCCCAACCATAAAATTATTTCACTGCCACTTCATAACTGTGATTTTGCTACTGTTATGAATCATAATAAAAGTATCTGTTATGTAGGGTTTCTGACATGTGATCCCCATGAAAGGACTGTTTGACCATCAAGTTAAGAACCTCTGCTCTAATAGGATAATTTACTAACAAGTCTGGAGTGGTTACTACCAAGCAAGAAATCTTTATTGTGAAAGAGATAGAAGATCAAGATCCCTACAAACTAACTTATGACATGGAGCTACAGACCCTTGAGGTAGCACAGTAAAGGTGTATTGCTAACCTTGCCAGATGAAAGCAAGTTGTTTCTGCTGATCTTTATGGACAGGTAGCTATAAGAAAGCATTTGCAGGATTAATACCCGTGTGTCAGGTACAAAGAGCAAATATGATCAAGTAAGAAAATAATAGTTACCTTAGAGCCACTATTGATTGAGCTTACAATAATCAATTGCCATTCTCTATGATCTGGGGCCAATTAGGAGAGTTAAAGGGAGATGTGGTGGGAACCACCACTGTTGCGCCCATTTATGTCTGATAATAGCTCTGACTTCTAGAATCACTCCAGGGATGCAATGTTGGGTTTTTGATTACCCTGGGAGAGGCTGGTCTGGTGGCTTCAATTTGGCCTTTCTAACCACAACAGCCCCCACTCAGCAGGCCAGTGAACCAATGTGGGAATTCTGTCAACTTTAAGAATATTTATCCCAATTATATATTCTGAGGTTGACAAAATAACAAGATGAGTTTAGAGATCCATTGGATCCTTGGTGAAAATTCCATTGGCCAGCTGTCCTGTATGAACTCCTACTTTAACTAGAGAGTTACAGGGCTGTTTGTGATCTCCTAAAGTCAATGTCCATTCAAAGCCAGTGTCTATTAGGCCCTAAAAAATCTGATTACTTCCTTACCCTTGTGAAAGGCCATAAGTCCTTTTGGAAAAAGATGAGACAAAAACTAACAGTTAAACCTTACAGTACTGTGGCAAAGTCCTTCCTCAAGAGGACCTGGCCTCCCCTTCATTTCAGAGACTCTGAGTTTGTAAACTGACTCCAGTCTAGATATTGTTTGAAGAGCCTTATTCTCTGTTGGTATGATTCAATGTATGTAGCTAGAGTTTTTCTCTCCAGCTCCTGCCGGGCCCACAGTCAGGACAAATCTCTCTTACCCGCCAGTCCCCAACTGAGTAAACACACAGAGACTTACATTGTTTACAAACTGCATGGCTGCAGCAGGCTTCTTGTTATCTAGTTCTTATATCTTAAATTAACCCATATCTATTAGTCTGTAAGTTGCCACGTGGCTTGTGGCTTACCGGTACCTTACATCTCATTTTCCATCACGGCAGCTGGCAGAGTCTCTCTGACTCAGCCTTCCTGTTCCCAGAATTCTCTTCTCTGCTTGTCCCACCTATACTTCCTGCCTGGCTACTGGCCAATCAGCATTTTATTTATACAGAGCAATATCCACAGCAAATATAGCCTTTTTATTAACTTGTTCTTGAATTGTTCTGCCCAAACTGTCTCACACAGTTTTAAGGAGTCACTGAGTAATGCTTATTTATTTATTTATTTATTTATTTATTTATTTATTTATTTTAAGAGAAATCTTACTATATAGTTCTGGCTGACCTGAAAGTCACTATATAGAGCAGTTTGGCTTTGAACTCACAGAGCTCTGCCTGCCTCTTCTCTGCAGTGCTAGGATTAAATGCATGCATCAGGACACTAGCTGAGGAAACACATTTACATTCATAGCATGATGCTTAGGGATCTAAGTTGATCTATTTCATTCACAAATTTGGGTTCTTGTATGTAAAACTGAGTTTCTCGACATGTTGGTCTTCAACATTGTACTGAGTGTGATAAGCTGAATTAAGTTTGGAAATGGCAGAGAGGTCACTTTAAGGCATCAGCATACTTTAGACACATTATTTTTAGACCTTTCTGTGTTATGTTGTGCACAGAGCCCTCCTGGGAAGCTATCTTGAGAAGACTGTCATTAGTGACACACTCAGTGCAGAAGTATGCTACTACTAAAGGAATCTTAATGGGAGTTGAACCAAGCAAAGAGTGTGAAAGTGGAGGCAAGATGTTCAACAATCTCATGAGCTGGGTGTAGACATGGTATATTTCTGTGATCCCAGTAGTTGGGAAGCAAAGTCAAAAGAATCAGTTCAAGAAATGGGCATGGTGGCACATGCTTTTAATCCCAGGGGTCAGGAGCCAGAGGCAGGCAGATCTCTGAGTTCTAGGCCAGCCTAGTCAAAATTGTGAGTGCTAAGACAGCCAGGGCTACACAGAGAAAAAAAGCTTGGAGTGAGGGGGAGTCAGTTCAAGGCCATCCTTGGCTATGTGGTGATTGTGATACCACATTGAGATACATGAGACAAACAAACAAAAACCATAGTCAGCTCCGAGGAGATAATCTGAACTAGTAATTTTCAGCTTTACTTCTCCTTGAATGTAGATACCAGACAGGCTAGTTTTGAATTACTTGGAAAGTAGCTTAAAAAAAAACAAAACAAAAAGTGACTGCTTGGTCATCTTTCATATCCATTTTCTGGAAATAGAGTCAAAAGAAGGGACTCATTCCCTACAGTCCAATCAGGGACCCACGTCCATGGGACAGCCTTATCCTTAACTTGTTTATCATGAAGTAAGGGAAAAGAGAAAAATCTGGGGAAAGGGAGGTTTTACCACAAAAATTGTTATTTTAATTTCAAAGTGATTTTACTCTGAATTCATTGGTCAGAACTAATCACATAGTCCCATTCTTAACAAAAGGGGGACATAGAAATACACACCTTCCACATTCTCAGAAAGGAGCAGTAGCAGGAATATTTGACAAATAGTATTGATGCTGAAGTTTGACATTAAGCCTGAGATGGGATTAGTTGTCCTAGAATTATAAACTCAAGTTGGGACCTGAGGACAATCTCTCTCTTAAACTAGCTTGCCTGATTCTGTGTGTTTCTTACATTGATTAAGTAAATGGACTTTTGAAATGAGTCAGAGATATAGAACCCATCTGAGATGAGCAAGCCAGTAAGTTTTACCCGTGCTCTATCCATGCTTCATTAATAGAGTCGTCACAAGTTCTTCCTGGGAAGCAACTCTGAAACAGTCCTGGACAGGAATGCTATCTGCTCTGTCTTCACTGGGTATGATTTGTTTTTCAAAAGTTAATAGATACATGTCTATCTATGCAGACATATTCATGTATATTTTTTCTTACTGTAAATACCCCATGCTCAGCAACACCTACTCATGAATAGTTCCCACAGCTGTTTATATTTCTAAATAGTAAACCTGCTAAATAAAAAATTCTTAGTAGATCCTCACAGAACCACCAAACAACCACAATAGCACAGAGCATCTACTGGCACCAGAAATACAAGAGAAGCGGTAGTACTTACCATAGAAGTAATGAGGTATTTCATTAGGAAGAATATTTTTGTAATGTGTTGCAACAACTGCCAAGTTGTGGGGTATTGAGGTCAGAACTTTGGGGTTTGCTGCTCAGCTATGTAAATACAACTGGATTGATTTATATTCTTCCATCTGCCTCTCATTCCAGGTTGAAAATAGACTATTTGTTATTGGAGTGTCCGTCAGCTATAGTTATGTGAGATTTCTGTCAAACCCTGACAAGACAGCAGTTCATAGAGAGGACTGATGACGCTGGAGTCACAACAAGCCCCATAGAACATCCCCCAAAGCTCTCAGTTTAGTACTAAGGAGAAAGACAAGTCCACTGACTTCAATGTCAGCTGTATAAGTCACTGTGCCACTGCACCAGATTATGTGGATCATCCTATGGTTGTGGTGTCCATCACCCAGCATCTACATACCCGTGCTCTACTGGCTGGGTACATGTCAATGTCTTCGGAGGACTTCCCATGAACTACTGGGGTCTCTTTGCCAAGCTGTCCCAAGAGCAGAAAGTGACCAGCAGCCTCTGCCAATGATGGCCTGGTGCAGGTGCAGGGAAACTATAACCCAGTTGGCTCTAGACACTGGAAGGTGGAAGAAAACATAAAGCTGATCATGGTGTAGTGGGGGTATCCAGGACAGAGCTTACCTCAAAAAGGAGGAAAGTGTCCTTGCAAAAGGCACCATCTTCCAAATGGCGTATACCATGTGTCTACTTCATTAAAAATAACACGTGATGCTGAGGCCTTCATTTTCTTTTCAGAAACAAGAGTCAGAGAGACATATGTAAACTGTCAGAGAATACAGCAGTTAATTGTAGATGTGAGGTTACCAGTGTATTTAGAAGGTGAGCTGGCCAAAGAAAAGATGGAAGAAGATGATATTAAAATAAAAATAGCAGGATAATCCACGTTAAAGTGCACACACACACACACACACACACACACACACATACACACACACACACACACACACACACACACACACACACACACACACACACACACTTGAGATTTTGACAGGCAAAAACCCTGAAATTCACAAGTAAATTCAGTCAAGGTAACATCAACGTGAAATGGGCCCAGTTTGAAAGCTGAATTATGCTCATATGCTTGAGCCTCCAACAACAAGACTAACAGAATGGAAATACCTGTCTTGTCAACAAGACTCAGGTCCTAGGGTAGTGCCTCAATGAACTGTCTCCCAATCTCCCACCTTTCACCTACTGGAAACTTAAATGATGGCTTAATGTCTGGAGATGTGAACTCCAGAGTCAGTACTGTTGTGCAACTGTAGTTATTTGTTGGTGCCTCATACTGAAGTTGTATAATGGTGAGTGTTATGTAGGTGCTAATACTCCATGCTGCTTGTGAATTTATTTATATGACTGTATTTTATCATAATGAATTACCTTTATAGGCTTTATTCTATTTATTTATGTATTTTTGTAAGACCCAGTTTAGACCCTGGATATCATAAGGAACAGATTGCTGTGGGTGAAATGCACATGACTTGTGATAAGAGGTTAATTCCTGTGTAAAATAATCTCATGCTTGCCCTAGGCCTGAAAACAAAGATAGCAATATGTTCAGCCTTTGTAAAGTAGCACTCCTTCCTGAATTGAAAGTACATGTATGTGTGAGGGGTAAATATAGCCAGGTTCAAGGACTGTACAGTTCAAGTGAACAAGAAATGGTAAATGAAAATAGACCATAAAGAAGATAAAGTAAAAGAAAAAAACAAAAGGAAGGAAATATATGCAAGAAAACATTTACCATTGTCAGAGTGAAGGTAACTCAACGGAAAAACAAGAAAAAAAATCCTGTTTCTATAATATTGAGGTAACATACAATTGTCAAAAAGAAAAAAGCCTCCAGAGAAACCCTGTCTCAAAAAAAGAGAAAAGAAGGAAAAGGCCTCTAAGAAATCTATTATGTCTGAAAAACTAAAAGTTTCGCATTGTAAAAAACAAGTTTTGAATAAGTCAGTAGCTAATATTTACTCCCTGTTTTCTTTTTAAAATTAGCTGTGCTTCATATTCAACCCCAAACTCTGCCCAGATCCACCCTCCCCTTCCCTACTCACATACCTTTGTGTCTTAAAAAAATCAAGACTAATTTGTGCGGACCAAATATCCTTGAATGTGTGGTCTTCTACTGGAGGGTAGTCCACTTTACCGGGGACTACACTCTTAGAGAAAACTCTTTCTCCCTTTCCCAGCAGCTAACAATTGCCAATAACTCCGTGGCTAGGGGTAGGATTCTGTGACCAGTTCCTCTACTCATTCTGGGATTTGGTCTGGCTTGGGCTTGCACAGGTTTAGGACATTCTGACATCCAGATACTGTGAGTTCATATGTACTCCTGTCCTGCTGTCTCCAGAAGACAGTTTTCTTAGATCCATTCATCATCTTCGAATAGAAACTTCCAAGACAAGGGTTAAGAGATACATTGGCCTATAGGTATAATGACAAGGAGTTGGTTTAATACTATGTCCATTTAGTAGCATAACAATAGTAGGTTCTTCCCTAGGGCCTATGATTTGTCTATCTATAGGTTCTGAGCCCAATAATGATGCAACATATGAATCTCATTTTGTGGAGGAGGGCTTAAATCCAATCAGAAAATTGTTGGTTGATAGGAGTCATAAGCCTAAGTGACTCTTAACACACATGCTGCCATATTTGGGCTTCTCTCCTCTTTTCTTAGATCTAGGCCTTGCTTAAGTCTCCATAGCACCAGAACCTCTTTCCACAGATACCAGAACCTCTTCTCAGATATCAGGTGAACGAGCTGCAGTTAAGCAATTAGGCAGTTAGACAAGGGTAGATAGATAACCTTCAGAGCAACATTTTCTGCTGGCTGAACAGCCCATAATTAAATCCCTTCCCTGTTGCAACCTCCATTACTAAGTCCCTTCCTGCTCGCAACCCCCATAGTTAAGTCCCTTCCTGCTCTCAATCCCCTTTTGCCTACCTATATATGCCTTAAGAGAAAAATTAAAATTTTGGAGCTTGATCAGACATCCTGTCTTGCTCTCATTCTTTGTGTCTCTTGTCCCTCTCATTCGCCGGCCCTCCCTTTAGGCCCTGTTGAGGACCCTGCTGGTCAGGGCAGTTGGTCGCTCCCATGAAGTTTGTGCTAGTACTGCAGCAGTGAGTATGTCTCTCTAGGTCAGTAATTGTTGTAGCTCGAAGGGTTCATAGCTGGATACAACTGATACATACTTTTCTCTTCTGGTAGTTTGCATAGTACCTTCCAGCACTATGAAAGCTAGCCAGTAATAATGAGGTTTCCAGGTCACAGCAGCTGGATTTTTCCATATTCTATGACTCAAGTTTGTAGTGTCTTTAGTAATAGGATCTTACCATCAAGTTTGGAAGATAACCAAAAACAATGGCAATAGCTTATAGCATTTGGGGGGTCTACAAGACCTCATGGCCCACAATTGCTAAAGAAATAACATATTCCTGGCACTGTATTTTTTTTATTACTTTGCCTCTAATGCTTTTAGTAAAAGCATTGTTGCCCTTTTATAGGGTAACTCTACTTTAACTCTTTTTATGAACATGTATTTGTAAACTTCTACAGTAGTCATAGATCATAGATGTCATAGATCATATTTTGAGCATGCTCATGACTTGCAAATTTTAATACCATGACAAGGCTATGCTATAGGGAAATATTCAAACGTGACTCTACGTAAACTAATTTCAGTGGACCAGGCTCCAAAGCACAATACAGGATAAGCAGAGCTTGGGGTACTATACAAGCACCTACTCAAGATCTGTGTTTGAGAGATGAATTATACTACTGTAAGTGCTGACAAAGGTCACTGACAGATAGTATGAAGGACATGTAGAATTTGTTGTTAAACATAAAATCTGTATGAAGTCATCCTGAACTTTATTGATAGGAAAGAGAATTAACCATAAGCAATAGTCAGTAAAAGATTTGGCAGAAATGAGAACTTGGGTAAACTTAGAGGTATTGTTGAGACTGAAGCTTTACTCATTGATGAGAAAGTGTTTGCAATGAACCCTGTGTGTCCAGGCAAGTTAGAGTTTGTTATGTCACTGAGGGTCAAGATCTGAATTAGCCACAGGACTGCAGGCAATGCAAGTAACCATCCTTTGATGCAATTTCACTAGGACTAAGGTCTTTTCCAAGCACAGCACAGTCAATTCCTTCATGGAACATGCAAGGAGAAAATCAGACACTCAGCTCAGCACTAGGAATATGGCAATGATCAAGATAAACATTTTTGTGACTCCCAGAATTATGGTCTAATCAGACAGATTCTATTTTGAAGAACAGGTCCGGTGGAGGATTCACCCTGGGATGCTCAAACTGAGAACTAGAACATGTATTGCATTTGAAATGATAAGATGTCTACAGGAAGAAAGAAAAGCAAATAAAAGGCTTCTTGAAATATTCTCAGAATTGAAAGGGAGCCAACAATGGGAAAGGAGAGGATGAAGAACATCAGGAAGAATCTAGGCTGGTCCACAGAATCTTGGTCCCCAGAGCCACCCAGACCAGAAGCTCTACTGTCTTAACTTCAGCTTCTAAAACTGTCTCCTGACCTCACCTTCCAGACTGATGCCTCTAATAAAATTCTATGTGAACCCAAACTACTAGATCTCAGAGATTATTTCATGAATAGCCATTAAAGGTTTTGAAGCAAGGATGTGAAGTAATAAGTTTTCATGTTAATATGTTAACTTCTTTGCACAGGCCACACTACAGGGGCATCTTTTCAGTTAGCAGTAGAGCAAGCCACACATGACAGTGATGGGGCTAGGGTGGCCTACGTCTATTGATGTAGATTTATACCTAGTGAGACCAACTAGTAATAAAGACTAGTCTGTTTTTCTGGAGAGGACCAGATGACTAAGTATATTCAAAAGGTAAAAATAATAATTGATAGGACATTTAAGGTGGATAATACAGATGACTTTTAATATATTTCCTGAAGCTCCTACAAAATATTGATTTTGTGAAATTATTCATGTATATTCATATTAATTTGATTAGATGAATTCTTTTTTGAGTATGAAAACTATTTATGGCATCGTTATTTGAACCCACAGCAGCCCTTGGAAAACTTAAAAGTAGCAGCCACTGAACCATTGTGAGTTCACCCTCAGAAATACGGGTCCAGAGGAAACAGCATTAAGAAGTCCCTGACTTGGAGCTGCAGGAGGAAGAAGCAGGAAAATATATCTGTCTACAAATTTCATTGGGGCTTAAAACAGGAAGCAGGAGATGAATGACATGCCCCAGACAGCTCCTGATAAAAATAGAACACGTCTCCTTAAAATAAAAATTTTAAAAAGGTCAGGAATTTAAACTTTGGTCTCATTAATATTCAGATTTCACCAAAAGCAATTAGTCACCCTGAGGACTGATGGATGACTGACTTCATCTGGGGACCATTTCAATTCTAATGAGCAGCATTTTGTTGGATATAGAGTGCCAAACTAATAAATTAAAATAAAAATATTGATGGGGATTACTGAATGTTGCTAATACCTGACTATGAAAGTGGAAATTTCGATTTCCAAATATAAACCAATAGTGATAGCTTAGCCCGTGGTCAGTTCCTGAGTGAGAATCAGGTAACCTGTTGCTTCCAAGTTGATTCCAAGTGCCTGATTGGTATCTCCAAGGGAAAGAGTTCAGACTGGAGACTTCATAGCAGCAGTAGGGAGGTCAGCTGTGGTGAATGGTGACCCACATAATTAATCCCTGCCTAGTATTCTCATCAACATGCCTGCTCTGTTCATGTGTCGGTGTGCTAGCACAAGAGTGGCTAACAACAGAGGCTGGATGACGAAATAATTGTCTTTT